CCGCCACCGCCGCCACCGCCACCACCGCGGGGTCCGCCGGCCGAGGACGCCCGGGAGGAGCTGCAGCCGCCGCCGCCCAAGGAGAACCCTTGGACCAAGAAACCATCGCAGCACCCATTCTCCGCCGCGCCTGAGCCGTCGCCGCCCCCGCCAGACGCCCTGCAAGCAGGTGGGTGCTGCGGCGGGGGGCATGGCGTGGCACGGGGGAGGGGAGGCCCGTCCCTGGCAGCCGAGGTGTTCGGTGCCAAGGTGCCATTCATTTTGCTTATTTACATAAATGGACATCTGGGACGGGAGCGACAGGAAGAGGTGGGACCTCAGGTTTTCCTTGACTGGTAGGGGAGCCTGGGGGGAACTTGGTCGCGCGGGCGGCGGACTGGCACCGGCCGCGCGTGTTTGTTCCCCACGTGTCATGAACTGGGAAAGTGATTTTAGGTATTGCAGCGCGTCCTGTGAGCAGTGTTGTGGTGGACCTTTCAAAAAAAGGTTGAAGCAAGTCGGAGTAAGGGGATTTATCCCAAGTGGAAGCGAGATTGCGATCTTTTGTGAAATGATTGTTGAGCTGAAAATCTCGTTTACAAAACAGTGCCAAGTAGTAATGTTTAATCAGAGATCCTAGCCGGGTGTGGCGGCGCATGCCTGTAATCCCAGTAATCCCAGAAGTCGCAAGCCTGAGGCCGGAGGCTTGTTGAGTTCGAGGCCAGCCTGAACTATATAGGGGGAACCTATCTCAATAAATAAGTAAACAAATAAAGTGAGATCCTAGCGGAGGTCGGGGATGGCAGTGGCACAGGCCTGTAACCCCAGGTACTGGGGAGGCTGAGGCAAGAGGATAGCATATTTGGGCAACCAAGGGAGAACTTCCTGGGGCACTGGTGCATGCAACACAGTTTAAGTCCTTTTACTTAATCCTAACCCTTCCCTTCCCAGGCCCCTCCATCAAAACCCTTTAAAAGGAGGCAGTGGGTGTCCTTAACATTACCCTGCTCGTGGGAGTCCTTGGGTTCAATCTCCAGTACCGGAGGAGGGAGGAGGGCTGCTAAATGTAGTTGGTGTTAAAGTGCTTTGTTTGTGTTGGATAGTTCATATGAGTGGATTGCGTGTTAGGTAAGTAGGAGTGATCTATGCAGGTAGCCCGTGGAGTTAGAGATGGGAGTATGTACTGCGTTTATGTATACTGGGCCCCTGGTGCTTTATTTTGGTTGTAGCAAGTACAATTTTAAAAAATTAAAAGAAATGCTAAATAAAACAGGCAAAGCTAAAATCTACTTTTGCTTTCTATTTAAGTTGTAAATTAGTTGAACTTTTAAATTTCTAAGTTATGGCTAATAACTTGCAGGTTTCACTGCTTCACAAAGGCCAGCGGTGGAATAGGAAAAATTAAAGCATATTTATGAAGATGAGTGAGATAAAGGATGTTTTATAAGTGATTGTTATAACCCTACACTGTTTGTTCTGATGAACTCCAGTAGAGGGAGATAAATGTAATCAGCTGAGTTCTATAACTTTTGCATAGAAATACTTTCATCGGGTTTTTTTTGGATGTTTTGTTGTTATTTTTAATCCCTTTTTCTTTTTTTTTTTTCCTTTCTGTACTGGACATCGAACTCAGGGCCTTGTGCTTGCTAGGCAGACACTTATGCTGCTAAACTATCTCCCTGGCCTTTTAATCCCTTTTGAGGCTTGTCTTTAATCACTTTGTAGTCTCTGGCTGGTCTTCCCCAGCCTCCCAAGTGCTGGGATTACAGCCATGTACCAACACACCCAGGTCTGTTCTTTGGTTTATTTGAGGCAAAGTCTCCCTTTGTGGTCCAGGATGACTTCAACCTCAAAGTGATCCCTCCTGTCTCTGCTGGGATTACGGGTGAATGTCAATTATTTTTTTCTTGGTGCCTTATAAATGATAAAATCCGGGCCGGGGAGATGGCTCAGTGGAATAAACGCTTCCCTGGCAAGCACAAGGACCTGAGTTTAATCCCTGCTTCCGCCAAAAACATAAATAAAAAATAAATGATAAGATCTAAAGAGTATGCCAACTACACTGAGAAGCATATGAATATAACAATTTAGATTTCTTTTAAAAACATTTTTATCAGAGCATATTAGACATTTTCATGTGGGCTATTTTTTGTATCATATAACACACTTTAATCACTCTCCCCGTAATCCTCCCTGTTTGCCCTTCTCCTGCTTCTAGTCTCCCTTCTACTTTCATGCTGTCTTTTTCATTTGTCTCCTGATTTTCTCATACGAGGAAAAATGTGTGCCGCTTGACTTTGGAGTCTGGCTTATTTTACAGGATGATCTTGTTCTTCGTTACTTCTTTTTTAAAACCTATTTATTTGGTGCTGGAGATCAAGCCAGAGCCCCAGACATGTTCGACAAGTGCTCTGCCACTGAGACAAGCTATGTCCCCAGTACCTCTTCATTCTTTTTATTTCTGTCCCCGCTGCACTGGTGATTGAAACTCAGACATTTGCACTGAGTTACATTTCTCACCCTTTTTAAGTTTTGAGAGAGGGTCTTAAGTCCCTGAATTGCCTGGGCTGGGTTCAAATTTGCAATTTGTCTGTTCAGCTTCACCCTCCAACATGCTGTTTCCAGGCATGCAGCACCCCTTCTGGCTCTTTCTTAACTCTGCATCTATTTGGCACTTGTGGGAAAAAAAATTTTTTAATTTGCTGTACATTTAATATTGCCTTACTTCCTTGTTGGGAAGATCTATTGGTTTACTCTTACCATTAAGTGAAGAGAATACCCTTACACAGTTTCCATACAGTTTAGCAGAGCAAGGCCTAGGAAGGCACTTTATTATCCACTGACTTAACTTTTCTATTTCTGGATTTACATATAATTATGTTGTATTAAGTGAACTACCAAAAAATGAGCTCTTTGTTAGTTATACAGCCAGTTTTGGCAGGTCAGGTACAGTGGCGCATACGTGTAATCCCATCACTCAGGAGGGTCACTAAGCTCAAGGCCACCCTGGGCTAAATGGGGAGACCTTGTCTCAAAAAGCAAAACAAAAATAATCATATATTTTTGGTCGGGATTTAGAGGGAACAAACTAAAGAGTATTTAAATTAGCTACTAGTAGGGTACATATATATATATATATATGTATAAAATTCAATGAAACAGGATATTTTTGAAAAGAAAAGGGAAGGATTTATATATATATATATATATAATTATTATTATTTTATTTATTTATTTATTTTTGAGATGGTGTCTTGCTAAACTTCTGAGGCTGGGCTCAACTTTCAACCCTCCTTTTCAGCCTACCAAGTAAAGTACTTAGCTGGGATAATAGGCATGCATAACATGTCCTCCTAAGAAAGAATATTAATTATGCTATATTTATAGGTTTATACCAAGTCTTAGTTGTCCAAATCTGGGTCTACTGTCATTCTGTCATTAATGAAGTAAAAGAATTCTATACACAATATTTTCAGAAAGTTTATTGCCAACGTTAGAAACAGGAAACATTAGAACCTGAGTCATAAATTTCTTCTTCTTTAGAACCTGGAGATATAAGTGAGGCAGTTTTCTCTTCCGTTCCTTTTTTCCTTTTTCTTTTTTTTTTTTTCTTTTTTTTTTTTGGTGCCAGGAATGGAACTCATGACCTTGTACTTGCCCAGGCAGGCACTTTACATCCCTGGCCCTTTCTCTCTGCCTCCTCACCTGCCTCTTTTTTTTTTTTTCCGAACATTTGAGATAGGGTCTCACCAGACTACCCAGGCTGTGTGTGGTACTGAGAATGGCGGCCTCAGGGAGGTCTTTACCCCTGAGCTACATTCAAGCCTGTGTGTCTTTGTATTTAGAGACATGGACTCACTGTGGAGTCCGGGCTGACCTTGAGCTCACTCTGTGAGCCAGGCTGACTAAACTCAAGCCAGTGCTCTTGCCTCAGCTTCCCTCGCGCGGGGATTACAAGCTTGTGCCGTCACCCGTTTTCATCCTAGCCTATACGTTCTTTTTTTAAATTTTGAAATGAAGAGCAACTAAGCTGTCCCGAAGAACTCGGCATTTTGATCTTCTTCCTCAGTTCCTTACGAGTTCCGGGACAGCAGGCTTGCTGCGCCGCTGCCCCGCTCACCTTTTCATTCTTGTTCTGCTCTGACCCTGCGCTGCTTTTCATCGACTCTTCTTTGGGTCTGCATCCCAGATACTGTTGATAGCTTACTGTCACTATCCTGATGAAACGACATTTCACGTAAATTCTATATGTGAAATATTCTCCTTGTAAAAACAGAACTTTTGATGTCCCCTTGGAAAGAAAAATCATGTTACAGTTTACTAAATATCTTACAGACCTTTCTATGCAGTTACTTCCAAGCAGTGTTCTGTTCATGTGTTTAGAACAAAATACTATTCCAATTCTTTATTTTACAGCATTGACTAATCCATTATCTAAACTTTAAAAATGACTGAAGTGCCGAGGTAGGCATAGTGGCTCTCACCTGTAATCCCAGCAGTGGGAGGCTGAGACAGTGTCGTTATGAGTTCAAGACTAGCCTGGACTACAAAGTGATCTCAAGGCAGCCTGAACACAGACTCTGTCTCAGAAAGACAATAAATAAATAAGTAACTTTAAATTAAATTTAAAATTACTGAGGTGTAGTCTATAAATATAATTGAGAAAGTTAATTGTGCCTTTCACTTATCAGTCTGCATTGTAGTTGTTTCTATTAACTTAAAAAAAAAAAAAATTGAGGCTTTGAAAGTTCTAGCAGGGGCCGGGGAAATGGCTCAGTGGAATAAGTGCTTCCCTGGCAAGTTCAAGTGCCTGAGTTCAATTCCCGGTTCTGCCAAAAAAAAAAAAAAAAAAAAAGAATTTAGGGGCCAGGGAGATAGCTCAGTAGAATAAGCACTTCCGTGGCAAGTGCAAGGGCCTGAGTTCAATCCCCGGTTCCAGGAAAAAAAAAAAAAAAAAAAAAAAAAAAAGAATGTTTTAGCAGGGAGGAGCTGCTCAACCAAGTCCAAGGGTTTTCGAGGGACATGCCTGGAAGGGTGAGGGAGGACAGACACCTGTGGCCCAGGAGATGAGCCGCATCAGCTCTGGTGATGAGGAGACCACAGATGTCATCACAGCCAGGTCCACCTCACATTATATATATATTATTTTAGTTGTAGTCCAGGCTGACCTTGAACTTTATCCTTCCTGAG